GTGGGCATGCAGCTGAGTGCGGACCTTCTTTGATCTGGTGGCGGTGGGGTCGTGTCGGCAGCGAGGATTGGGCTGGCACCCCACCCCTGCCCAACATGTGTGGGCCCTGGGCCCCGGCAACCAAAGTTACTCGACTGTTTCCAGGAGAAAGGGCCAGAGCAAAGGCAAAACCTCTCAGACCCGAGCTTTCTAGGCATGGGACAACTGGAAGTGTTGGCAAGCCCTTGCTCTAATTTAGCCAGCTCATTCCTTTGGATAGGGATCTATCCATCTCTTCTTTCTTCCTCACCAGGTCTTTGTATCTAAGGTCTCCTCATTCTCAAATGCTATTTGTCTTTGGTGGGGACACTTTGTGTCAATAATTCCAGTCGCAAGCCTTTTTCCTTCTTCCATCTTCTGATACTGGTCATCTGTGGGAAGCTTTAAAAATAAATGAATCTGGTGGCTCTATTGTTAAAGATCCGTGCTAAGGAATCATAATGTTCAGGAGGCCTGGGGTGACTGAGGTGTCGATAGATGGCCTATGAATCTCCTCTCCACACATGCAGATGTCTCAGCATGCGCAAGGGGGAATATATGGTGCCATTTATGAGAGAGGTCACCACTTTCATTTACAAGCCTGATTGCCGCAGCCATTTGGCATGACACGGAAATCCATCCTTTTAGCATGAGGCTCCAAAAGTGACTATTGGAGGGTTTAATCCCCTTCAGACATCATCAGGCACTACACTACGCAGAAATCTGTAATTGGGCTATCAGCGATGTGCAGATAATAACTCCCTGAAAGGAAACACCTCTAAGATTAACAGAGAAGGGGGAAACTGTTTGATAAATTGATAAGCAAGTTTAATAACCTGCCTCATTAAGTAGAAGGAAAAATTAATCTGCAGAGACATTTACATGTAAGAAGGAGCCAATTGCTGTGTGGAGAATATATATATATATATATACACACACACACACACACACACACACACACACAGTATATATATATTCCTCATAAATATATTATTCAATGAGGCAACTCCTTTATGACTATCTCTAAATGTAGTTAAACAGAGGGAAGAAAATGTGTAATTTAGAAATGGACCTTTTGAGGATGGTCAATGTGGGTGTTTGCTCCCTTTAACTCTTACCATTCTTGTTTCAGAATGGCATGGGCAGCATTGAGGTGAGGTTTTCAGTGATAAGCTAGCCAGTATTCTCAAAAGGGAGTCTGTGCTGTGGAGTGACTCGTGGGTCAGACTGGATCCTGAGGGACCAAGGTTCAAATCCCTACTCAGCTATTAAACCCACTGAACAACCATGGGCTAGTCACTATTTCTCAGCTCAAAGTACCTCGCAAGGTTGTTGTGGAGACAAAAAGTAGAAGGATGGAAATGTGCAGGGATGAGGGTGGAATTTGATTCAGTTCTCATTTAAAGGGATGAACCAACCCAATTCATAGTTTCCAAAACAATCTGCAAACCGAAACGCAGCCATTCTTTGTATTCCCCACTTCTTCAAATTTTGCAATGCAGTTCTCCAGCCAAAACTGTGTACAAAATGCACATGTTAAGTTAAAGTGTGCATAAAATGCATATCCTGTATTAGTGTAAACAAAATGGGTTATATTAGGGGAAGCCACTCTGCAAAAATAGGTAAAACTGCACACAAAGATATGTATATTAGGTGGGCGGGGAGGGTCACTTTGCAAAGTGATTACCTCCCCATGCTTTTGTCAGCATCGAACCTGTAGCCTGGGAACTAATAGGATTTATTTACTGGATACCCAGTGTCTTAAACAATCATTGGCCACAAACATGGCTGGCTCTGCCATTAGGCAGTGTGAGGCAACTGCCTCAGGCGGCAGATGGTGGGAGCAGGCCCCCAACCACTCCTCCTGAACCCCGTGGCCATTCTTCTCTGTCCAAGGACAACTTTGTACCCATCAAGCACCACGTTTCAGTAGCCTGCTGCCTTCAGGTGTGGCTGAGGATGTTCTCCCATCACTTGTATTGGACCAAGATTCAACTTGCAGCCAAGTCAGTTTGTAAAAGTGGCATGTGGGAGCATCATCTTCCCCTTTCCCTTAGGCAGCAAAAGGTCTTGTGCCAGCCTTGCTCACAATCATAAATTCCTTGTATTAGTACACTGGGAGGAGGGAAGGATTATTTGGGCGGGATCCAACGAAGTGGTTCTGTTAGCATAAGGGCTTTTGGCTGCGCAATGGAACTTCCTCTCCCTCTTTTCTTCCTATCTGCCTCCCCCTCAACACACACACCCTCCAAATTTGTTCTGAAGATTCCACCAACTCGTACATTATAATTCTATGTTGTGAACCACCCTGAGATCTACAGGTTTAGGGTGATTAAGCAAGCAAGCAAGCAAAGAAATAGATTTGGGGTTGGCGTGGGGCACATGGGGAGAGGAGAGGGAAAGGAAGTTCCATTCAGGAAATGGAAATTCTTGCCCTTTGGAATTACTTCATTGGATACCACCTTAACTTTTTTGGTTTTGTTTCATTTTGCTATTCATTAAAGAATAAAAAACCTGAGTTACTCCAACACAAATAAATAAACAATCAAACAGAGCCTGGCCTTTAAAATGAAAGTGTCCCCCAGAGTCGTCATTAGCATAAAATAATCACACATACGCTAGATAAAGGTGATTGTTTTATTTCTTAGCACTCTAGGGGTGTGATTGTAACTTGGAAGCAAAAACCCCTCCTGTGATATGTGTTTTAATTAAGGAAGAATTTATCCACCACCTTTACGAAGCCTAGTGTCTTTGTTGGGGGTGGTTATTAAAATGTTGTGTGTGTGTGTGTGTGTGTGTGTGTGTCTTTCTAGTCCTGCAATTTAAAAACTATGGGTTTTTAATGCTGCGGTTGGACGAGCAGAATAGACTGTTTATGGAATGGGATGTCTTCTTCTTCTCCAGCCCCACTCCCCCTTGCACACACCCCTCAGATGAGAGAGGTTTTTGTTCTTTCTTTCTTTAATATATTTATATCCTGCCCCCATCTCCTGCCTATCTCCCACATTGACAGTTTACAATCTGGGAGCAGCTGCAGAAAGCGCTCTCTCTCTCTCTCTCTCTCTCTCTCTCTCTCTCTCTCTCTCTTGTGTCACCACCAACTGTGTTTCTGATGTCGATGAGACTGAGAGAAGGTGTTTACCTGAGGATCTTGGAGCCTGAACAGGTTGGTAAAGGGAGATATGATCTTCCAGGTATACTGGGCCCATGCCATATAGTGCACCTTACATGGGATGGAAGTAATTTCACGGCATCGTCAGCTGATAAAGGGATCATAGGAACACAGAAATCGGCCTTATGCATATCATTGGTCCATCTTTTTGATGTCTGATGCTTTTCAATTTTTAATATGTGCTGTAAGCCGCCCAGAGTAACTGGGGAAACCCCGCCAAATGGGCAGGGTATAAAAAATAATATATGACCATCACCATCACCATCACCGTCACCATCATCATCATCATTTAGCTCAGCATGGTCCACACTGAGTGGCAGTGGCTCTTATCTAGAGATGCTGGGATTGAACATGGGACATTCTGCATGCAAAGCAGGTGTTCTGCCACTCTGCTGTGGCCCTTCCCCAGAAATCATGTAGCAGATGATGAGCAGATCAGGTCACCGGTGGTGAAAAAGAACTCATCCTGAGTCTCAGAAGGTCCCTTGACTATCGGAATAGATAATCCCACTTTTGTTATTTTTAGGAGTCAGGTTTAACGGCTTGTACTGTAAAAGAGCATAGGAAGGATGCTACATCTTAATAGACGGCAGGGCGAAGTTTTTACTTTGCTGCTTTAATTGCTATTTTAATTGTGTACTGTACTCATTATGCTGTCTATTACCTTTAATTGGTGCATTCTATATTTTATTGTTTTGCTTTTAGTTACAGTGTATCGCACAACAGTGTTGTGAGAGGCTCTGAGTGGTGCTTTTGCTTTTTAAATGTTTTAATAAGTAAGACGAACAAGCGAAGCACCCTGGGATAACCCGCATGAAGGGCAGTATATAAACACCTTAAATAAATAAATCAACTGTTGTGGGCTAGATGGACCAATTTCATCTTTTTCCGTTCCATAGACAAGAAAGGAACTGGAGAGGAAAGCTGGAGAAGTGATTTGACATTTAGGAGCAAGCACGGTTGTAGGGAGAAAATCTCTCTACCTCCCGGGTAGTCCAGGAAATATTTTATTGAAGAACCTGGTTTTATGAACATACTATATTGAGAAGGAGTATAAGAGAGGAGAATGAAGCAGCTGGATGGACGGGATTCTGTTCCAAGCATATGGGATGGGGAGAAAGAGGGAGTCTATGATAGTTGAAGCTGTGCCAAATGGAAAGAGGTGTAGAACCTGTGAGATTTTGATCAGCTCTGGCCCATCTTGAGCTGATACAGGCTCGTCTTATCTTGAGCCTAAGCAGAGTGTAGTCCAGCAACGAAAGGATAAGCAGGTAAATGTGATACATGCTAAAGTTTATTTACACTCTATGCTGAGAGCATACAAACATCCATCCTGCCTCTGTGAGAGCAGAGAAGCAACTCCTCTCGACACAAAGAAACTGAAAGAACAGTGAAAAAACAGGAAACCAGTGTACGTCACATCCAGTCTCCCATTCCCGTGGGAACCCAACAGTAACTCTGACTGTGGAATGTAAACAATTGTCTTGTGACAAGCATTTTGCTGCTCAGTGAGGGAAATAGAAACCAACAGAAGCAGCGAGTGAAAGGTGCAGAGCAGGTGTGATGAGCCTTTGTACCTGAAGTACAACTCCATCAGCCTCCGCAAGCATAGCCAATGGGATAGTGAGAGCTGTAGTTCAGCAACATCTGGAAGGCCAAAAGTTCCCCACACCTGGTAACAGACCAAGGGTGGCAAACCTATCCTGTGGCCATCGCCATATGTTCTTAGACTCCAGCTCCTATCAGCCCCAGCCATCATTGTGGTGATCACACAGGGTCCTTGGACATTTCACCATCTATTGATCCCTGTGCCACCACTTTATTTCTCGCTGCCGCCACCCAGGCCCTACCTGGGACAATACTGAGTCCAGTCAGGGTTAAATTGGAACATAAACTTCTGTTTATTTATTGCAATTTAACAAGCATGTGGTTTCATAAACGGTATTGATCAACTACAATCATGGGGTGCCTATCCAGACCTATAACTTCCACTACCTGCTCTCACTCACTAAACCACCTCTCAGATATTTACTTGTCTTCCTAGCCCCTAACTGTTCCTGACTCAGCTTATTTCGCTACACTAACTCAACCTACCCACAGACTCTATCCCAATTCACTCCCACTCCAACCAACCAACCACCCAACTCCCAACAAACTCTCCCCTTTGCCCCTCTCAGATCTGGTTTTATAGTCCCTCTGACTCCACCCCCTGGGTTCTGATTGGGTAACTTGTTTAACTATTTCAACTCCAGCACTCTCATATGTTAACGTCACAATCATGGCCAATGATCAGGGATGATGGAGAGCTACAGATTCCCCATCTCACCTTTAAATATAAGCACTGAAAGTTTCTCCTAAGGGTCTGTTCTCACAATTGATGCATAGGAGCTGCTTCCAAGTGGTTGGATTCTCCCTCACCATTCCAGTAACATCTCTGTGCAGGATGTAGTCATGCTCTTGCCCTTCCTCTCCTCGTGCTTCCAGGTCTTCTTATGAGGAGAGGAGATGTATGTATCTCATTTGAGAAACATTTTTTTCTGACATGGGCACAGAACATATTCATTTTTATGTAATGAAATTTATATACCACATGGCATCTACACATGGCATTTCCCCCTTGGGAAGTGTGGGGAAAGGAAACGCATAAGTTCCTAGTACTTCATCTCTCATTGTTTGTATGGAACATGCAGAGCATCCCAATAGGTCCCTGTGGCTTGCTGTGTGGTGACCACTTTGCATCTGACTGTAAGATAGAGACACGGTGCAATTTTCAAATAGAGGTGTTCCCTAGGTGTGGAACAATAGGCTTACCATTGCAAGGGTTCCCTTTGTGCATTGTGAATGTAAGACTGCAGCATTTTGGTGGAAAGAAGAGGTCCCACATTGTGAGGACCACTAGACTTGTCATGCAGAGTGGGCCTTACATAGTTTTAAAACAGGTGCTTAGACACTCAAATCAGTCCACAATTGTCAAGCATAAACTTAGGCATGCACACAAACACAAAAAACCTGTTTGTAGCATAATTTGCAGGCAGAAATGTATGAATTTGGAATCAGCAGGCATGCTTGGATACGTTTTGCTCCATAAAACGTACCTTTTGTTTCTCTGCATTTGGTTCTCGGTATTTGCAGAGCATTACACAAGAAGAAAATCTTTTTATAGAGTCAGTAACAGATGGTCAAACACCATGCTTACCTACAATTATACCCTAAATCAGTGTGCATGATTATATCATCAAAGACAATAATGGAACAAATGTTCCCAAGCAAATCTCAGACATTAAAGGGCTCGCTGACTGTAGAAAAACCTACTCAGTCATTTTCAGACTATGCCCAAAGAGGTTCTCAACAGTGTCTGTGTGTGTGTGTTTTGGGAATGAGAGCCAGCTGGAAAGTAGAGGGCAACAGAAGGTAAAGCCCGTCATTGTTATAGTTCCTCAGGGCGAGGAACTATGAGCAGCTATGAGCAGGTAGCTCTGGGAAAATGCTGGTTCAGCAGGCACCCTGAGGGATGTGGACAATTCAGATAGCAGGGCTTGTTAGGAATACTTCATGGAGCAGGGAGAACAGAGAGCAACACCTTTTTCAGATAAGTGCATAATTTCATGAGAAGTATATAGAGGCAAGGAGGGATCAGCAATAAAAGGTTGCAGTGCATCTCCAAACTGGAGTGTTCTGTTCAGCGTTCCAGCCATGAGCTTGCAGATTCCTCCCTCTTGTTCCTCAGTAGGCCCATTTTGACTACAGTTCTGTTGACACTCACTACCCAGGGTTGCTATTGGAAGATACCCAAACCACAGGTGTAACTCAGATATTGAATCCATTCTATGAATGAAGAATAGCTGTAGGCATTCCATGTTGGCTCCAACCCCAACCTCATGTGCTCCTCCACTCCATTAAGATTGGTGGGGTCCACTAGTACTCTCATCCCAGTTCTCCGTGAACTGAGAAGTTGGTTTTAGGTGAGGTGCTATTCGCCATTATCTTGTCTCAAACGTTCACCAAAATACCCTGGCTTTCACATCACTAGCTGCACTACACTTGCCAGTTGTGATCAAATCAAAGTGTGCAAGGTTCAATCCCTAATCTAAAAACACTCAGACTCTCAAAAGTGTAGTAAAAAAACACACACATACCCAATCTGCCAGTACTAGGGTGTGTGGGTGAGTAACCTCTCTGAGCTATATCAAAGCAGAATTGGAAGTGCAAATTCTTAAATGTGCCCTCCTTGATCTTCAGCAAACACCCAGACAGCCATGTTTCTAATCTTCCTTCTGCAAGGATGAGGCAAAGTCCCCCCCCCCCTTACATGAAGTGAAGGAAATAACATAATTCACAATGCACTTCAAATGTAGACACACACACACACAGAGAGAGAGAGAGATGTAAATTTGTGCACTGACAGTAAAAAATGGTGGTGGGGGGGAGAGACCTCAGGTGGAACTTTTCCTGGTTTTGAACCTTCTACTTCTGGTTCCTGCTCAAGAGGTTAAAATGCTGACCAGGCTAGCAAATTTCTGGCTAGATGGTGGCAAAACTTCTCTCTTGCCTTTGTGAAGCTTCCAATTATGGGAGGCCGTCAACTGGTTTGTCTTGTGAAGAATTGGAAAGTGGCACTCGCTTGAGCGGCACATTATTGTTAATTGGTGCATTGTGTCTGTGGGCTGACGAGCTGCCTTTCCTGGCAATGCTTGGCTGGAATGTGGTTGATGTGGAGGGTTCACTTGCTCCAGGGCCTGTTTAATTGGTTTGATGTAAAGAAATAGGCCAGCAAATGCAAACTCCAAATGCCGACATCCCAAACGTATGTAACCGCTTTCTGACCTTAGTAGTAACACTCCTGTTAGAACATTGCTGTTATTATCTCCTGTCACAGGAGTTTTAGCCGATATGTTCCTAGTGCCACTGTTGAGCCTCTATAAATGTACTTGCATTAAAAGAAAGGAAGGGAGGAAATAATGAAACCATAATGGTGACATTAGTGAGCAAATGCATAAATAATATTCAGACATTGTTATTTATATTTCATCTTGCGTTCCAAAATTGGAAGCTCAGAATAATATTGAAAATGAATCACAAAGAGAAAGTAAGAGCCCTGTTGGAGCAGGCCAATTTTCCAACTAGTCCAGTATCCTGTTCTCAAAGTGGCCAACAAGATTCCTATGAGAATCCATCAAGTAGGATCTAATAGAAAAAAAGAACACACACCACTTTGTTTCCCAGCCGCTGGCATTCAGAGGCATACAGCCTACAACTGAGCAGAGAGAACATAGTTATTGTGGTGAGTTGACATTGGTAGACTTAGTCTCCATGGTTTTGTCTAATCCTCTTCTTAAGCCATCAAAGCCATCACTACCTGTTGTGTGAGGGAACTGTATGGTTCAGCCATGTGTTGTGTGAAGAAAAGCAAGTATTATGGAATCATCCTCTTTACAGAAGTTTGAATAAAATACAACACCACAAAAATGAATGAAAGAAAGAAACCAGCTGCAACAGCTAGCACCTTCATCACTTTCTGGTGTGGAAAGTAATTAAAAATTCATCTGAGTAGGACTGTTTTGACTTAATTAACACCTTGAAGAACGGGTCTAGATGTTACCCTTCTCATTCTTGTGACCCAGCTTGTGTGCCTCTCTGATTGTGATCATTCTGATAATGACTTCAAAACTGGATTGCTTGCTTGTGAAGTCCTGTTGACTTGGAATATTCCAGAACTAGAGGAGAAGGGAGGAGTTAGCAGACTCTGAAGCTGGGACCAGAAGCTCAGATAGTTTAGCCCATTAACCAGCCAACCAATCAAAGCTGTTTTGATTAGGTCACCATGCGAGAAGGTGGGCAGTTTACAATCTGAGGCTATTCAGTGACGCCAGAGTGCATAATTCCAATCCAGACTACAGGGCAGAACTGTGGCAATCATTAACCCTTGCTTGGGGGGAAAGGCATAGCTCAGTAGAATAGCATATGGTTTGCTCACCTTAGTTCAGTCCCTGGAGATGTCCAGGTGAAGGTCTTTGGGTAGCAAATGCTGAGAAACACTTCTGTCTGAGATCGTGGAGAGTCACCACCAGCCAGAGTAGAATACAGTGTTATATGGACCAATAGTCCAGCCCAGTGGCTTAGTTCACACTTTGCTTTAAACCACCATTAGGCTAAACTATGTAGCATGCTGGTTCGTGGAACTATGACAAACCCTATGCGCTTCCCTGCTCCTGCCATGTTGCAGCAAAGTAAGCTGCGGTTTAGCTTAGCATTACGCCTGAACCCAGCCTCATGGTTTGTTTCTCTCCATAATGCTCGACCATGGCTTCTCTCTCAGTAGCATAGCAGCAGCAAGAGTGGCAGATGAGCAAAGAGCCTGTGAGTTTAGTCCTGTGCTGCATTGCTGTACACAGACCTTTAAACCACAATTAAGCTTAACCACGGTTTAAATTAAGGAGCAAATGAGTCCTGCATAAGGCAGCCTTACTTGATTCCATTGACTTTGGCATTTTCTTGAACGAGGTTCGGCATTTCCTGGGAGCTCTCCCTGGTCCTGATTCCACTCACCAAGAGCTCTTTGGTACTCTGTCTGCTATAACATCTCTGGCTGATGTTTTCTGGTCCTGGTTGCTTCCTCAGGCCTCACCCAACACCCCATGGGCTCTCAGCTGTTTGTTTTCTCCAAACAGTCACATACAATGTACATGGATACACAACGGCATGAAGAACACAGAGATAGCCCTCAGCTATTTCTGCAATGGTGGCTGTGCTTTTTCCAGCTCACTGCAGGCAGAAGAATATCTCATGTTATATCCATGGACAGCCCAGTTTCTGCTAATGTTTCACAACATGCTTATGTATCCATGCACATTATTGCATGGAGAAAATGAGAGGACTTTGTTCTAAAACACCAGGATTGTGTTGCAGGTGCAGTTAAAACCAGCCCTTATTCTGTGAATGAAAGCCTCTCTGGACGATGCATCTTTTTTTATCCCTGTCCCTGTAATTTTAGCTTCTCCATAAAAAGAGAAGGGGAATAAGAGCACAGAAGGCCATGTGCTGTTGTCATCACAAGAGAGGGGGCTTGAGATAATGACAGAAGCCAATATGTACGAAGTAGATGCTCCCCTCGTTCTGCCTGCCGATTACTGCTGTCATTACTGTGAAACCTCTTGTCACTGGGATTGTGCAAACACTGATGTCCTATCGAGAGGGAGTGAGATGAACCGGATGCCAATTAACACGCTGCTCATTTCATTTGACAAAAATTCATGGACACATTGTTTAAAAGGTCACAACTGAAAGCATATTGAAATAACATTTTGGAGACAAGTCAGAAACACACTTGGGCTAGGAAGTTAGCAGATTCCTTTTTTTAAAAAAAAGGCAGATTCTTCTTTTTTTAAAAAATGAAATAAAAGAATATTGCAAGGATGTTAAATAATCTCCTCGACCAAGGTCGGAACTAGGTGTTCCATGGCAACCATGACTTGGTTGTTAAGTAACAAGAATTTGTGAATGGGGGGTGGGAGCTTAGCAAGGGAGAAGAAAGAGGTGGGAGAGAGTCCTTAAGGCAAGAAATACTTTTTCTCCCTGATACCCTTCTTCTCAGGCAGGTTCCCTCAGAGGAGATCTTAGAAGCCCATCTCCTACTCTGTATGTCCTTCAGGCGGAAAAGTTCTGGAGGGGGACTAGTAGAAGGGAGAATAGGTAAGCACAGAGTCACCTTGGCAGGATTTTGCCCTGGAATCAAGGAATACTTTCAAAGAGTGGGAGGGTGCATGTGTTACAAAGAGGGGTGCAAGCTAAGAAACCCCTGCTTCGAGTCTCGTCATATCCAGTAATTCACTCTGCAGCCATAGGCAAGACCCTATCCAGGGGGAAAGCAATTTTATAGTGGGGATGGGGAAGCTTTGGCCTCCCAGATATTGCTGGGCTCCAATTCCCATCAGCCACAGTCAGCATGGCCAGTGGTCAGGGGAGATGGGGGTTGTAGTCCAACAACAACTGGAGGACCAAAGATTCCCTCGCAGTGTTGTAAGAATTACTGGGATAATGTGTGTGTGAATTGCTTTGAATGCTTGGAAATGTGCTTTTAAATGAACATATGAAGAGCCATGAAGGATCAGAAGAGGTCTGCTGGACCACTCCAGCGTTCTGCTTCCAAAAAACAGCTAGTGGGGTGAACTTTTCTACGCCATCAGGCTTACAACTGAGAAAGAATATTCCATATTAGTTAGCTGATTATTTTTAATTTTAATTTTTTTTTTAAAAAAATGTGGCTTTTATTGTATATGTATATATTTATTAAATCAGTTCAATTTTTCATGAAATTGTGGTATACTAGTATTATTTTAATAAATAGGTAAGTAAATAACGTAAATATTGACAGACTTGTCCTCCACAAACATGTCTAATCTTGTTTTAAATACAACTAAGCCCATGACCATTTTTAGCATAAATAAAATTAATTTGCAAACTTGGCAGTGTTCTGCAGAATAAGCTTTGTCTTAGCAAGGATTTGTGGGATACCCAGCCTCATATAACCGACATGTTTAAGTCTAATTGATGCATTAAAGGATTAAGATCCTAGAGTAAGTTGCCCTGCCAGGCTTAGCTCACTTTGTGAGGGACTAGGTAATCAAGCCTCTGCTCCCTTCTGTCTACTAGAGAAGCTCAGTGCGTGAAGAGGTTTTGAGCTGGTTACTGCAGCTCAGACCACATGGCTCTTACAAGCCATTCTTGTGTTTCTATACCAGTAATTTAGGCACTTTAACCACTGTAACTAAGGCAAATTTTACTGCCCGTCCAACATTTTCTGAATGGTGTAAGGGAAAGCAAATGAATCTGACCTTTGGAAGAGTTTGTAAGAGAGCCATTTTTAACTTACCAAATGTGTGGTCTTTTTCTAGGCTAAGGGAAGGGGAAAACTTTGGAAGGAACTTAGAAGGGCATATTTTAAAGGTCCAACAGCCTACATTTTCATACTTTACTTCACTGCATGTTTTGTAATTTTAAATCTCTGTTGGGGTTCTCTCACCCAAGAGTGCTTGCCCCAAACCTGGATCTTGGAATCCAGGGAATTCTCCTTTTCGTGCCTATAGTTTTCCTGGCCACCCAGAAGGATTAAGGCTGGTTTTCTCACTGCAAAAAAAAATTGTAGTATGTGTGGTGTTGACACTTTTGTCGCCCCCTTACTCTGTTGATGTATTGTTGTTGACTGCTAACTTGGATGTGCTCAACACCTCCCCGCTCCAACTGTCTGTTATTGGAACGAGACACAGCTACTCTGGGTCTGGAATTCTTCTGCGCTTTGCCTAGGATTGTCTTCTCTTTGCTTTTGATCCCGTTTTGTAAAATATGCATTTCAAGAATTGGCCAAATGTAAGCCACAATCTTACTGAGAAACCAGGAGGATATTCAGATTCTCTCAGAAGTCATGGACTCGGTTGGGCAGTGCCGGACTGCACTTTGTTGTTGTTGTTTAGTCGTTTAGTCGTGTCCGACTCTTCGTGATCCCATGGACCAGAGCACGCCAGGCACTCCTGTCTTCCACTGCCTCCCGCAGTTTGGTCAAACTCATGCCGGTAGCTTTGACAACACTGTCCAAACATCTCGTCCTCTGTTGTCCCCTTCTCCTTGTGCCCTCCATCTTTCCCAACATCAGGGTCTTTTCCAGGGAGTCTTCTCTTCTCATGAGGTGGCCAAAGTATTGGAGTCTCAGCTTCAGGATCTGTCCTTCCAGTGAGCACTCAGGGCTGATTTCCTTCAGAATGGATAGGTTTGATCTTCTTGCAGTCCATGGGACTCTCAAGAGTCTCCTCCAGCACCATAATTCAAAAGCATCAATTCTTCGGTGATCAGCCTTCTGTATGGTCCAGCTCTCACTTCCATACATCACTACTGGGAGAACCATAGCTTTAACTATATGGACCTTTGTTAGCAAGGTGATGTCTCTGCTTTTTAAGATGCTGTCTAGGTTTGTCATTGCTTTTCTCCCAAGAAGCAGGCGTCTTTTAATTTTGCGGCTGCTGTCACCATCTGCAGTGATCATGAAGCCCAAGAAAGTAAAATCTTTCACTGCCTCCATTTCTTCCCCTTCTGTTTGCCAGGAGGTGATGGGACCAGTGGCCATGGTCTTCGTTTTTTGAGGACAAATCCTTGCACAGTCACAAAGTCACTGCAAGGTCTAAGGCAGAGATGGGCAACCTGTGGCCCTCCCAAGGTTGCTAAACTGCAACTCTTATAACCCCTGAGCGTTGGCCATGTTTTCTGGGCCCAAAGGGAATCCCATGGCATCAGGACAGCCACAGGTTAGCAAGTTGTTCCTTTTTCAGGTATAAAAAGAGAATAAGACAATGGCCAGCATCCTGAGCATTTTGCTTGGATGTGAAATGAGATGTGGACTATTGAGCATTTCTGCCAATTAAAGTACTGTGGAGATGGTTAATAAGAATCAGCCTCTCTGGTCCTTGTGCATTC